ATTAAATTATTAAAATTTATATAAAATATAAATTATTAAATAGAATAAATTTAGATAGACTTCAACGTCTCTCTTCCTTTACCTTTATATATATATATATATATATAACAAAACATAAATATAAAATAAAAAATAATAAAATTATAGAATATAAAATATAATATTATTAAATATACACTAATAACATGGTGTTAATTGGACAGGACATGTTCATAGCCGGCACAAACGGCCCCGCAAGCGTTCTGGAGTGGTCACTAGCGGAGCTGGTGAGGAACCCACACGTATTCAAGAAAGCAAGAGAAGAGATCGACGCAGTTGTGGGCAACACAAGGCTGGTGAAAGAATCAGACATTCCGAAGCTACCGTACCTGCAAGCAGTGGTGAAGGAAACCCTAAGGCTGCACCCACCCACCCCAATCTTCGCGAGGGAAGCCATGCGAGCGTGCCAAGTGGACGGCTACGACATTCCCGCCAACTCCACCATCATGATCAGCACGTGGGCCATAGGGAGAGACAAAAGCTACTGGGACAAGCCTCTCGAGTACAACCCCGAGAGGTTCTTGCTTGCTGACGACCCTGGCAAGGCCAGAATCGACGTCCGGGGACAGTACTACCAGCTGCTGCCCTTCGGCAGCGGCCGGAGAAGCTGCCCCGGCGCCTCGCTGGCCTTGCTCGTCATGCAGGCCACGCTCGCCAGCTTGGTCCAGTGCTTCGACTGGGTCGTCAACGACGGCAAGAGCCACGAGGTTGACATGACGGAGGAAGGGAGGGTCACTGTGTTCTTGGCCAACCCTCTCAAGTGCAGGCCTGTTCCACGTTTTACTCCCTTCGCTGCTGCTGCTGCTGCTTCAACATGAATGTCTTGTAGTGATTCATTGGTATCATAGACATTTACTTAATAATTTCTCGTGAGATATGTGGTTTCATGAGTTATGTTTTTTTCTGCGTTTTTTTTTAATTAAAAAATATATATATTTACTGTGTTTTTTTTAGTGCTTTGTGTAAACTTGGTGACAGGGCTGTTTAATTAATTACGAAAACAAGTGTTTACTTATTTCCTGTCCGTTTCTCCTAGGGAGCATATTTTGGGTGAAGACATTCTCCTCGAGGTCGAAAGAAAATAGCATTCTAATGTACGAAAAATTAGAAAGAAATGAGAATTATGTAGCTTGTCGGGGATATATCTTGAAACTCTTGCAAATAAGTCAGTTTTATACATAATGTATACATATATACATTCTTAAAAAAAACACTCATCACGCTGGATCTATTTTTTTTATTCTTTACAGACCCAATAAAGGTTAATTTATTTAATAGATAAATGGTATGCATCTAACACAAAGTTTGTAGAAATCTAAACATTTAATTAATTATGTCAACAAGTAAGGACCACAAGGAGATGAAAGACTTGGGACCGGACTTAATTAAACTTACATCAACGATCCAAATGACATTACGTAGGAGAGTGATGGAAACATTCCATTTTTTTTTCCTTCTATTTATTCGATCTATTCTTCAATAAATTTATTCAACCTGTTTACAGATGGCATGGATTTTGTGTATATTTAATGGTGGGAACAACTGACTACCAACAAACGACTTCTTGTAGATGATTTGCCTTGAGGAGGAACTCTATTCTTCAAAGTTTCCTAGCATTTGAGTTGTTGAGGTTTCTAAATTTCACCACGGAGAAGAAATGCAATTAGGGAAGTGTTGTAAACTAAATTTAGAGGCATGTAATAAAGCGGTATATTCATTACTAGAATTTATTTTTTTTTACATGGGACTTTTCACGTAGGTTGTGTAAAAATTCGTAAAAAACATGATAAATTCATTTTAGCAGATTTTTATCCCAAATAATTATTTTGTGGATAATGTTTTTGCGATTTTTAAACTTTCCTACAGATATTTTTTTTCAAGAAATTTTTTTGCAAAAACATCTTAGAAATTATTGTAAAAAGTTTCTTGTGAGTTCCTTATTTGTAGGTAATTTGAGAATTTGAAATTCTAAAAAGACATTGCAGTTAATTTTCATATGAATTTTGGTAAATTTCTTGTGAATTTCAAATTTGAAAGAAACTTCATAGGTGAATTTCTTAAGAATTAAAAAAACTATCAAATACATTTTTAGATTTTTTCAAATATTTCAATATATTTATATAAATTTATTATTTATTTGTTTTAGAAAATTTAATATAAATATTTTATTACTATTAGAATTTCTCTAATTACATGAGAATTTCTTATAAATTTTGCATAAAATTTTTCTTATAAAAACACATTTTCAACAATTTTTTCTGCAAATTTTAATCCCCATGTAATTACTTTGTAGATAATGAGTTTTTATAGATTTTAAATCTGTAACAGCCCAATTTTCAATGGGCCGTAGGCCCAATTCGTTGCCCAGAACGGGCCGTTTCAAAAGTGAAACGGGCCGTTCTGGAATAAGTTAAAGGCCCAAAATTTGAGAAGCAGAACGGGCCGTTCTGGAGGGAGAACGGGCCGTTCCGGTTTGGAGAACGGGCCGTTCCAGAGGGAGAACGGGCCGTTCTGGTTTGGAGAACGGGTCGTTCCGGAGGGAGAACGGGCCGTTCTGCTGGGATTGGGAACGGGCCGTTCTGGTTTTGGAACGGGCCGTTCCAGTTCAAAAATTTGCGTAGGTTTGAAGGGCCCAGAACGGGCCGTTCCGATTTTGGAACGGGCCGTAGTGGTAGGTGGGCGAAAAATCCTATAAATAGGCCTCAAATCCTCTCATTTC